GTTTGTTTGTTTTATTTTGTTTGGGGGACAAGGTCTCACTGTGTAGCCCAGGTCAGCCTCGAACCTGCACAGATCCTCCTGCCTCAGCCTCCTGCGTGCTGGGATCACAGGCATGTTCCACCGCGCTTGGTTGTTGGTGGCAGCAGCTTCTCCGGTCCCCTGACCTCCCGCCCCACCTGCAGCTTCTGGGATGCCTCTGGGGCTGGGGGCAGGGGCAGCGGGCCGGGCGTGTTCTGTCACGGACATCTCCTGGGACCTGCAGAGTCTGACGCCTCCTTTTCTTCCACCTTGTCCTAGGTAACATAGAATACAGCTGCCCGGCCACGAACGAGTGCGAGATCACGAAGCGCAGACGCAAGTCCTGCCAGGCGTGCCGCTTCATGAAGTGTCTGAAGGTGGGGATGCTGAAGGAAGGTAAGCTCCGCCGGGAGCGCGCGCGGTGGGCTTGGGGACTGGGCTCGCGCTCAGGGCACTGCACGGATGCTAGAGATGATGCTAGAGACGCGGTGGGGTGATGGGGGCCCAGGCGGCGCCCCTGCCCCCAGTCGGGGGCAGGAAGCTCCCCTGTGCCGGAGCGCGCAGGTGGCTGGGAGCTCCGTGCTGTCGAGGAGCGAGGAGCAAGGTAGGACCACTGGTGTGAGCTGGGCCACCGGGCGGTGACAGCCAGGCCCTCTGGTCTTCACTGTGCGCGCAGGAACGAAGACCTAAGACGAGCGGAGGAGGCTGCCAACACTCTGCTTCCGAGCTCCGGAGAGCTCGCTCTCTGGCTGGCCTTATCCTGACTCTTGCATCGAAGGCCTGCCTCCTCCTTCTCCAGCCTTATCTTCTGGGCTTCTTTTCTGCCGTAGTGTTTTCAGTACGACATTAGGGTTCTTCCTGCTTTCTACTTGGGGATAGAAAGGATGAGCGCAAAGTAGCAGCAACAGCCAAACAAGCCGCCTCCACTCCAGGGAAGAAGTGGAGAGCCAGAAACCGAACCCGGGCCGACCCGAGACGCCACCCAGTGACTCCGTGCCGCAAAGGTCCTCAAGTTTTGTCTGCAGAAGCTCACATTTCCGCTTGGAGAAAGAGAAAACATACTCTTTGCTCTGAGCGCCAGCCTTCCCAGTTAGTTTTCGAGCCTCGTGCTCCGCTGTGCCAACTCAGGTTCCCCAGATGCACACTCCGCATGCTGTCTGCAGGCTTCTGTTTCCTCAGAGTTTAAAGATGAAGTAACAAAGGAAAATGCATTGAATCAGCCTGAGAACAGCAGGAGTCTCAGCCCCCCTGGAGACTGGAAGCAGGAGGGGTGCAGGGTTGAGTGCGACCTGGGCAAGGGAGGGGCTTAGCAAGACCCCTTGTCAGGAGAAAAATACTAAAATCAAAGCAGAAGGCCTGGAAATGCAGCTCAGCGTGGCGGCCCTGGGTGGAGCCCCTAGCATTGGGGGGAAAAAGTAGGAAGAAAATTAGGTAAGCTAAATATGTGAATGTATTCTTACCTCCAAGAAATGTGCGTTATTCCTTTGACTTAGCTTGTAAGTTTGTGTATTTTGGTGATGTTAGAGAGCATTTCTTTTAACCTAAATTCATGCCGACCCCAGTGTGAATTCACCATGCGGAACAGCGCCTCAGGTGACAGTGAGGTCACCAGATCCCCTGCTCGCCCGCAATTCCTCTTGCTCCAGAATTTCTGCTGCGCTGTGACCAATGGCATGGGAAGACAAAGACGAGCAGAATTTTGCGAGGGACACAAGTCCGTGCTGTATTTACCTGCTTTTGCATGCCCAGGAGAAACAGAAAGCTCCCTCTGTGCTCCATGGCACCTTCGCTTCTGCTCTTCCCTTGAGAAAGCCGAAGAGAAACTCCATAAAACATTAGGAGGGCCCGGGAGATAGCTCAGCAGTTTAAAAACTTGCCTGGCAAGTGCAAAGTCTCAGTATTGCAATATTCGATATCTGGTATTGCAAAAAAAAAAAAAAAAAGGAATGAATGAATGAATGAATGAATGAATTTAGGAAAATCCCACCTAGACACACTGTCAAGCATATCATGAAAGTGGTGATGACTTTCAGGGTGTGACTCAGTGGGTGTCTACCTGGGGGAGGGAGGGAGCCAGCACAGGATAGGAGTGGCCTTGGGCTGTGTGGGCACAGAGCTGGGACACCCTGGGGTTGGCAGCCAGGCCCCTGCATGAGGTGACAAGAGCAGGCAAGATGCACAGGAGCTGAGCATTTGAGTGAGGTCTGGGCTCGACCTGCGTCTCCAACCAAGATAAAAATAAAGAAAAGAAAGAGGGTAGGCAGGACCTTTCCTTCTCTAGCCTTGAGCACTCTTAGGTATACAGCTACTTTCTCTTAATTCAGTGAGAAGAGAGATTTGTACTAATAGTGTTTGGACAGGATATCATGTCTACATCTTATACCATGAATAACCACTATGAAGACAACAATATGCAATGTATTAATTATTGAAACTGTCCTATTTTTAAAAAAAGGATTTCTCAGTTGACATGCTTTAAACTCTTATTTTGTTTGCTTGGGTGTGCTGCGGATCCAATAGCTGGAACCTAGGGCTTGTGTTGCTGTTGTTGTTAAAGACAAAGGTTCACTATTCTTTCCCAAGCTGGCTGTGAACTCTTGCTCCCAAGCGATCCCCCTACCTCGGTCTCCCCAAGTGGCTGGGACTACAGACACACAGCGGAGCACCTGGCTCATCGGCTGAGAATCTGAGGCCTGTCAGGAGCCGGGCACTGCTCCAGTCTCTGGTGATCAGAAAATGAAAGCAAGGTAGAGCAGTTTCAGTAGGAAGACTTACATGAACATGCTGAGAGAACCATTTTCCATACGTACACAGAGCTAAGTGCATGCATATACACTTTCTTAGAGCATGGGCTTTCCTGGAGATGTTTTTATACATGCCTGTAACTTACGTCAGTCATAGCCATCGCTCTATTGCCCCCCTTGACTGGTCACTCCCCAAGCCCCTTTGCGTGTCTATCAATCTTCCCCAACAGAGCGTTTTTTTTTTTAAATTTATTTATTTATTTTACAAAATCTCAAAGCAAGATTTTAGGAGAGTAACAACGGTTAGTACATTGTGTATTGTTACTGCCAAAGTAGTTTCTCATATTACAAGATATAGGCAAGAAATAATAAATAAACAACATAGATACAAATCTCTGTTTTTTTTAAAAGTCAACAGAAAATGGAAATATACTTTTTAAAGTTTCTAATACTAGGAGAAGATATCATACAATGTCTTTTAAATAAATTGTAAGTCAAAGATACAGTATAAATCTTAGAACAAAAATTAAGATTAAGCAATATTCTGAAAATTAAATGTTTCAAAACAATTGAACTCAGAAAAAGTTTTCATGATAGCAAAGAAGTACTAAGAGTAAAACCATTATTAAATACTGGAATGGCAAGTAAATGAGCAGCACTTCTAACCGTTTGAGGACAGGATATCGCACAAAGTTCTAGTGTGTTGTGGACATGTATAATGACCGTGACAGTTACTGGTGGCCAGGCGTCACTTGTGGAACTGAGCTACAGCCATTTCTTTGAAATCCACCCTGTAGACTCAGGAACAGAGCGTTTTTGAGGAAGGCGAACTCAACAACCACCCCCTAACCCACAAGACATGAGGAGGGCTCTTTTTCGTTGCAGTGGTGGTGATTGGTTACTTTTGCTGGCAAAACCCTTTTTGGTTTTTATTGTGTTTATGTTCTCACCAATGGAGCACAGAGATTTGGGGCGAACTTAGGCTCATTCACAGAAACTAAGGGAAGAGTGGCTCCAGCGTGAACACTGTGAACCCTGAAGATGCAGACAACTCTGTGAGTGCCACACAAGTGAGCCGCAGTGAGCACGGCCTGGAGGTCCTGGATTTGGACTTTATTTTCCAAAAGATAAAGCAACTAGACAGAGTCTGTTTGGGAAGTGATAGAAGCTTTGATTGACGTGATTCTACTGGTGTGAGTTGCTGAACTGCTTGTCTCTCTGGGTGTAGGAGGAGGAGGAGGAGAAAGAAAACCATTCTCCCTCCATAATTTTTCCAGCTAACAGCATAAGCAGAAGGGCTCTTGATAAGGACCCGGTGCACGATCCGCGGGTAACTCAGCCAGCACCATGCACTGAGGAACCGGGGCGTTCATCTCTGGCTCACACCTCTTCACTCGCTCTCGTAGCAGCTGTTTTCAAGGCAGTAGCTGCTGTTCTGATATGCTCAAGTAATAGCTGATTTTCCTTGACTTCTTCACATCCACTTGGATGGTAAAGTATCTATTCTGTGAATCCCTATCCTGTCTCCCCCAAAGAGAAAAGATGAACCCTTTCTGAGTAAATAAGGAACATTCTCTTTCCTTTCATACTTAAAAACGCACACTACAGTACTGATCCCACCCTGCACCTAAATGCACAGTTACGCGTGTGCCTTCTAGGCTTATGCGTGGCCTTCTGGGCCAAGCGAGCATGGCACTGCCTTCAACGGGCCTGTACAGATGCAGAGGGATTTCGGCCTTCCGCAGGATGTCAGAGATCGAGACGCAGTAAATCTATTCAAATGTGAACCTGCTCAGTTCAATTACTGGTCCATAATAAAATTCGCTGCCATGATGGGTGTGTTGACAGCAACAGTCCATACAGGCAGTTGGAGTGGCAGGGCTGGAAGCGACAGGCACAAATCTATTTAAACAAAGAGCTACATTAGTTCTAGAACCTGAAGTGAGATCAGATTTCAATAGCCTCCTTCTTCCCTGGAATGGGCATTTTGATTCAGCTCACCACGGGCGTCACGGGTAGAGCACTGCCTGGGGAAAGGAGGGGAAGGCTGCATGAAGACGGGGGCTTATAGAAAAACACGGTGATTCCTGGTGGCGTCGCTGGCGCTTTGGGTAACTGAGGCACAGCGCTGTGGGGTGGTGTGCTCCAGCTGCTGCTGCATAATCGCATTCCTGCAAATCTTGCCTTCTCCTCTGCCAGCACCGGAAGGGTATCTGAATGCAGTACGCTTCATCATTTATGCCAAGAAAATCTGAGTCAAAACCCAGTTTCCAGTGGAAGGAATAAAAAATAAAAACCCTCATAAACAATTGTGTTGGATGAAATGGCAAAATGCTATCCTGTAGCACATCCCTGGGAAGCGCAGTTAAGAAAATAATAACTTGCGCAGATGCGGGAGGTAGAGCTCACCGTTCAGCGTTCCCAGGCTCCCCTTGGTCTCTGTCCCCGCTGAACTCATCTGTCCCATGGGATCGGCTCCCTGCAGCCCTTTCCATTTTTATTTTTTCAGGTGTTACTTATTTGAAAGAAAAAAAAAGAAGAACTAATCAAGGTCTCCCCATAAATCTGCCGAAGATTTATTTTTATTTTGATCTCTCCCCCTGGTTATTTAAGGCTGCTGTTGGGCCTCCTAGTTCAGGTCGCTCTCTGTCA